CCCCTGCTGCGGCCTGCGCAGCAGATGATGGCCTTACAGGTCGCTTCCACCTCAGCTGGCAGAAGCGCCGGCAGATGTTAGCCCGGTGACGTGAGCGAGTGCCACATACCCGCTTGGAATGGATGTCGTGGAGCGGCGCGTCGGAGAAGCAGTGGTGATGGAACAGGCCCATCTTCTGGCTGAGCAGGCAGTGCAGCACGTGGGCCCTTGCGTTCTGCCACTTGACCAGGCGGACCAGCTCGCGGTTGAGTGAGGCGCCCAGGTCCACCGACCAGTTGTAGCTGTACAGCGTCACCTGCAGGCGAGCGACATACAACGCATCAAATTGAGGAGACTGGGGGGGGTGCTATTTTGTTCTGCTGTACATCTATTGTGGACCACAAAATAGCAGCGCACTATTTTCTTTGAGACAGTAAATTTGAAAGACGAATGGCAGCAGGAAGCATTTCGTTTTGCCCAGTTTTTTGTTTTAGATGATTTACTCTCAAATCCTCTTTAATCCTGCTTTTTACGCCTACAGAAAGCAACGGCTGTATGTTCGTCAAGTAATGTACATCTTTGGGCATGATTATTTCTGTACGTTGTGAGATGATGCGTTTATTAGGCTGGAGAACAATTGATATTACTGCAGGTTATTGAGGAGCTGTGACTGTCTCCGTGTCTCCATATGTAAAGGGATTTGGCCCGATCTAAATCAAACTGAAGTGAACTGAATTTGTGTGATGTGGTCCAGTTTCCAGCCACATCACACGTTAGAACAACCTACAATTGTCCTCAGTCACCTTTTTGTCCAAGATGCGAATGAGGAGGAACCTCTGGCGGGGTGCCGGTGCTGACGCCCAGCCCGCCTGCTGCTGCTGCTGCTGTCCCGAGAGGCTGGAGCAGTCACCCTGCTGCTGTTGTTGCTGCTCAGAGGCCTCAAAGCGCTGGAGGCCTTTGTGAGCTGGACACAGGACAGAAGGGCAAGGACATTTCTGAAGATGTTCATTCAACCATAACCGCATTGTATGCTCGATGGACCATTCCATAATGGATGTAAACAAAATTCACCAAGGTACTTGTTTGAATAAAATTGCACGTTTTGGGCCCTCATTCGAGTTTGGTTTGTTAAGATAGAAGAAGTCCTACTTACGTGTGAACCTATTAAGCGGCGCCACGTTTTCCTCCTCTAAACTCTCATCTGTGGCCAACGCGAGATGCAAAGACGGGACGGATGTGAGACGTGCGACAAGAGACAGAACACACGGCTCAACTCGAAGTCATGTTGAGACAACACACACGCGTGCATTAGACACACATCACGCAAAGACGTACAGGTGAGGTGAATGAGGACGTGATGTGTGGTCGTTAAGGATGTGGTTCAGTTGGGTCGTCTTTACCTTGCTCGGTGCTGCAGTACCACTGTTGGAAGTTCCTCCCAATGATGATGAAGCTGCAGGAGGCCTTGGGAGGACGCCACAGGTTTTGCACGGCAGATAAAGGAACGAAGATGTCTCCCGATACGGGACAGCTGGAAGCAGACATGAATTTTTGACTGCATTCATTTTGTTTGTTTAAAGAAATAAAAACGGCATTGGCATGCAGCGCTGACCTGAGATACAAATTTATAATTTGTCACATGACTACGCTCGTAACTCAAAACACCTCATATTTTTTCTCAGAGAAATTTATTTAAATGTCGATCAATGATATACATCAGATTTAAAAAAAAAACTTTAATATTTTCATTCCTTCACTCAACAACGGGACAATATTTCCATTGGACAGAGCAGAAAACGCACAAACAAATGAGTTAGAGCAGTTTCTGGTTTGGCCCTTAACATGCAAAAATGTTAATTAAAAATAGAATAAATAATGACAATAATGACAAATGAGTATCTCAGTGGCATTCATTTTGTAACTAAATAAATGCTCACTGAGATTTATTTAAAAAAAGAAATGAACGGCTACTCCATATTTTAAAGTGCCTTCAGGGTTCAGGGGAACGTCGCCGTCTTTCGATTTGCTGTGTGCAGATTGGCCGTGACAATCACCGACCTGGTCTTGACGAAGACCTTGACGTTGGTGTCGGCAGCCAGCGATCCCACCAGATTGACCAGCTCGGCCAGGATGGAAGGCAGCAGGAAGTGGGACGCCACATCGGCCGAGCACTGCTGAATAGACGGGCAGCCTGTACGAAGCAGAAGGAAAAATAAATGATTACCGACAATTATAAAATGATCAAAAAAAGTGATTGACGCTGCTGCTGCTGCTGGCCCGAGAGGCTGGAGCAGTCACCCTGCTGCTGTTGTTGCTGCTCAGAGGCCTCAAAGCGCTGGAGGCCTTTGTGAGCTGGACACAGGACAGAAGGGCAAGGACATTTCTGAAGATGTTCATTCAACCATAACCGCATTGTATGCTCGATGGACCATTCCATAATGGATGTAAACAAAATTCACCAAGGTACTTGTTTGAATAAAATTGCACGTTTTGGGCCCTCATTCGAGTTTGGTTTGTTAAGATAGAAGAAGTCCTACTTACGTGTGAACCTATTAAGCGGCGCCACGTTTTCCTCCTCTAAACTCTCATCTGTGGCCAACGCGAGATGCAAAGACGGGACGGATGTGAGACGTGCGACAAGAGACAGAACACACGGCTCAACTCGAAGTCATGTTGAGACAACACACACGCGTGCATTAGACACACATCACGCAAAGACGTACAGGTGAGGTGAATGAGGACGTGATGTGTGGTCGTTAAGGATGTGGTTCAGTTGGGTCGTCTTTACCTTGCTCGGTGCTGCAGTACCACTGTTGGAAGTTCCTCCCAATGATGATGAAGCTGCAGGAGGCCTTGGGAGGACGCCACAGGTTTTGCACGGCAGGTAAAGGAACGAAGATGTCTCCCGATACGGGACAGCTGGAAGCAGACATGAAGACATTTTTGACTGCATTCATTTTGTTTGTTTAAAGAAATAAAAACGGCATTGGCATGCAGCGCTGACCTGAGATACAAATTTATAATTTGTCACATGACTACGCTCGTAACTCAAAACACCTCATATTTTTTCTCAGAGAAATTTATTTAAATGTCGATCAATGATATACATCAGATTTAAAAAAAAAACTTTAATATTTTCATTCCTTCACTCAACAACGGGACAATATTTCCATTGGACAGAGAAGACAACGCACAAACAAATGAGTTAGAGCTGTTACTGGTTTGGCCCTTAACATGCAAAAATGTTAATTAAAAATAGAATAAATAATGACAATAATGACAAATGAGTATCTCAGTGGCATTCATTTTGTAACTAAATAAATGCTCACTGAGATTTATTTAAAAAAAGAAATGAACTGTTACGCCATATTTGAAAGTGCCTTCAGGGTTCAGGGGAACGTCGCCGTCTTCCGATTTGCTGTGTGCAGATTGGCCGTGACAATCACCGACCTGGTCTTGACGAAGACCTTGACGTTGGTGTCGGCAGCCAGCGATCCCACCAGATTGACCAGCTCGGCCAGGATGGAAGGCAGCAGGAAGTGGGACGCCACATCGGCCGAGCACTGCTGAATAGACGGGCAGCCTGTACGAAGCAGAAGGAAAAATAAATGATTACCGACAATTATAAAATGATCAAAAAAAGTGATTGACGGAGAGCGCGGCGTACCGAGCTCAGCCATGAAGGTGATCCAGGGCTGGCAGGTGAGCTGGTAGATGGGATGCAGGGCGCCCACGTCGCCCTGCTCCAGCTGGCATGCTTGCCTCCTGAAACCACAAAATTGGGCATTTCTTTTCTCCAAGTTAAAGAGAATTGAGTGCTTACGAAATGTTCTTGCACACCACGCAACACGAGAACCTTTGCCCCCCCCCCCACCCCTCCTAAAAGTGGAAGTTCGTTTCTCAATTAAAATGAATGTATTCATCGGTTTATTCATTTGTTTGTCATTAAATAATGGGGGGATTAATTGATTCTTAGCAATAAAAACAAATTTAAAAATATAGATTTTTAACAAACTATAAATAGACTTTTAACTTCTATGAAATAATTACATTAATTAGAAATAACACATTTCCAAAATGAGTATGAATTATTCTTATTACAATTAAGTGTTTCACGTATTTTATTTATTTAAGAATGAGTTGGTTCAACTGTCTCAAAGTTTTGTTTTGTTTTGTTTTTTTCCTCCACCGAACGCGCGTCTGACTACCTGTACCTTTGTGCCTGTTCAAGTTCGCCGAGCCTCTCTTGCGACCACTGCTGCTTGACGCTGTCTGTCTTGTGGCGGCGCCGCACCACGCGACCCTCCTCGCCTCGCTCCGGCACGATATCGTCCGTGGTTTTTGGACTGCCCAGCTCAGACGAATCGGGTTTGCTCTGCGGCCACAAACAACAGCAAGAGGTTCGGGCCCATGCCACGTATGCCAGTCGGGGGAAGGAAGACGTGCTACCATTGGAGCAACCATAGCAGCCGTGGCTAATGTAGGGTGCATACGGGTGTTCCCATTTTGAGTGCACAAGGAACCCCCCCCCCAAAACCCTCTGGAAATGTCCTCATCAGACTTTGTGCTTCAAAAAGTTAAAAAAAGAAATAGCAAGGCACTTTTGGGCAGTGAAAAGCAAAAAATGTAAGGGGCTGTAATCCCAGAACAAACACTGACGTGGTAGCAAAGTCCAGCACAAGGCACTAAATGTCCGCAGTCCAGATCCAAGCCAGAGTCCACAGTCTGGCAGTCAGAGATTCTGACTTGCCCCTGAACAGGAAACGTGCACGATGGATGAGGAATCCAACATGTCCTTTTCAGGGACTGGGGGAGCATGCAGGTCCTCAGTCAGTCAGTCTTCGACTCTGGTCTCAATCTGAGCAATATAAGTGCCGAACGCTCGTAACTCAAAACACCTCATATTTTTTCTCAGTGAAATGAATTTAAATGTCGATCAATGATATACATCAGATTAAAAAAAAAAATTTTTTTTTCTCAGGCGCCGTGGTTTCTTGCAAATCAAATGAAGCCTTGTACGTACAGAAAGCAAATAGGGCTCTTTTTGTCACAATTTTGCCCCTTCCCGACAGAAGATGACAAATGCCAGAACATTCTATGTTACATGACATTATCCGATAAGATTCTCCAGGGTTCTGTGTTAAGTACCGAGTACTTTTGCCAGTTGTGCTAACTCACTAATTCGCGAGGCTTCTCTTCCAACGTACCAGAATGTCCCAGAAGCTGCGGCGCGTGCTTCTTCCAGTGGGCGTCGTGGATTCGGGCGTGCTGGATCCCGTCATGCCAGCGGTGGCGCTGCCGCCGCTGCCAGGGTGCCCTAAGGTGATGGGCGAGGGGCTAGTTCTGAATACCCGAGAGCCGCTACGCTGCCTAGGTGTGTCCTTTGCCTCCTTCGCCTCAGGCAGACTCAAGGCACCTAAACATTGGAAATCAAAACAAAAGGTGAGTGCCCAAAATAATGAGTCCTCAAAGGTTGGACAAGACGACTGATGAGTGATTTTACCTCTGCGGGACATTGTGTGCAAATATGAAACTATTTATTTGCATCTAATTGGTACAAACATTCAATAATTAAAACTAAGACAATTTAAAGTCTTGAGTATGGGATCTAGAGTAGTAGAGATATATCAAAAATAAATATGTAATTTACAGGTTAAAAATATGTACTGTGATTGTGAGTATGAATGGTTGATGTAGTCTATGTGTGCCCTGCGATTGGCTGGCAACCAGTTCAGAGCGTACTCCGTCTACTGCCCAAAGAGAGCTGGGATTGGCTCCAGCACGCCTGCGAGCCTCGTGAGGAAAAAGCGGATTGGAAAATGGATGGATGGGTGATAAAATGGCATTTTTGTCATGATGTCTCATGCAACGTTTGGTGTATTCTGCACCAGTGGGTGGCCGGCGTGGTGTCACCTTTGGCGTGGTCCTTGCCTGGGGTGTGCGTGTTGGCGCAGGGCAGGCAGAGCGGGTTGGGCAGCACACGTAACTCCATGAGCACATCGCACAGGGCGTGTCGCAGCGCCCCCTGCAGCCTATCGGCCAGCTGCGCCGGGCTCACGTTGCCTTGCTCCCAGACGTCGAAGCGCACCAGCAGTGGCGCTGCTGCCGCCTCTACATAGTTATTCAAATCAATAAAATGAAGGGTCAGATTCAAACAAGTCTGCGAAAATTCATGATTATCTCAACTGAACCTTTTTTCAAGACAAATGAAGCGGTATCTAATTTTAAAATGCATTTTGAAAAGAATAAATGAGTATCATTCACCTGTCATTTGCATATTTTTTCTCAGTCATTTGCTGGCCACAAACGAATTCAACATCTCATGACAAAGACTGTATTATTAATATTTGACTGTAACACAAAACGAGTAACATGTAACCTATTATATTTTGGAAGCAATAAACCAAACATAACGCAATGCTTCACCTTGGCTCCAGCCGTCATGCACAGAATCGGTTTTCACTCTCAGCACGGTGGTCAGGCGCTCAAAGTGTTCCGGCTGCAGCGGGGTGGAACAGCTGTTGGTCTCTTTGCCGCAGTCCGAGGCGAGTGTCTGAAAGGGGTGCCCCGTGGCATCCACGAACGTCAGAGTAATGCAGGCAATTCCTGCCAGGTGGGAGATGGTGTTATCCATAAACGCTGAACTGGATCAAAGTAGAATTTGTGTCTTGTGCGATTGAATAGGGATTTTGTTTTGGCCCAGCAGCAATCGCAATTCACTCAGGCCGGACTGGTTTGGGGCCGAAATAGGTTGCTGTGCAAATTCAAAGTAAAGCATTGGGACTGTAGAAAAGGATAAAATGGGAAAAGTGCCCAGAAATGCTCCTGACAATGTACAACATAAATCTCCCCACTTGCAATCGTCTGCCCGCGTACTCTTTTGAGCCATCTATTTATCCAAGACAGTACAAACAAAGTGACAGGACGTATACCTTTGCCTCCCGTCCCCTGACCTCCGGGCTTGTTGTAGAGGTAGATGTTGCCATCCGCCACGTCGGTGTTCGAATGAAAGCAGTGCTGCAGAAGGAAGATGGATTTGATCTATTTGGTAATATTTCATCATTGAACGGAACAAATTGAGGTGTACAGTTGCATTCACCAAGGTCATGGTAATCTGCAAAATTTGAAAGGAAAACCATTCTTGTGTGGAGATTATCCTTTAATTCAAGAGGCGCTTTTAATTCAAAAATTAAGGTCCAGTCAGGACTCAGCAGTCTAGTCTATTGTATTGTTCAAAATGAAGGGACATTACTTTGAGGACAACAATTCCTGGACAGAGAAACACTGCTGCAGCCATCTATGTCAAAGGTTAAGATAGACAAGAATCTAATTGGCTACATTCTTTTGCGGGGCTGAAAAAGTCGAGGCGCTACCTTGAAGTGGTGCGCCGTGTTGCTGTCTGTGTACTTGGGCACATGCAGGAAGATGAGCAGGTTCTGGCGGAGGTAGTGAGACACGGCCGAAAGCCACGGGAGACAGAAGGCGGGGAGGCCGAACGTCATCACCTCGCTGGAGGGAGAGCCTGACGGCTGGATGAACTGAACACAGCGGATGAAGCAGAATGAGCCTCTTTCAAACACACACACGCACACGCACACACACACACACACACACACACACACACACACACACACACACACACACACACACACACACACGTTCATGTAAACATCAGCCGGAAGGTGGAGTCTTTTAGCTAAAAAGCATATGAATGGTTTTTCCGCAGTTTCCTTTCACACCGGTGCTGTTCTGTCTTTTGATACGAGAAAAATTGCCAGAACAACTCGGAAAACCACCACAGAGAGGCATGAAAATGCCATTGTGAGCAGTGTAAAATGTGCTGTGTAAAGAAGAAGTGACCTCCACGTCGGCGGGTGTCAGCTTGCAGTTCCTGACGAGCATGACGGTGATGATATCCAGCGTGGTTTCATCCAGACGTTTGCGCAGAACCTTCAACAGCTCGTCCGTGATCTCGGGACCTATCGAGCGCAGACAACCATCAGCAGAATTTCTTTGACATTATGGCGGCGTCGAAGATATCCCGCCTGTTACCTGCATTGCCCACCCCATGCACCAACAGCAGGATGTGCTTGTCCACCTGGCCCACTGGACGAGAACCCTCCAGAGACGACCTGGAACCCTGAGAGCCCAAACATTTGGCATCAGTGAGCATCATTCAGCACTTGATGGACACGTCATTTGGTGCACAGGAGAAGTTAATTGTTGTTTGAGGATGAGGACAGACAAGCGTCGGCGTGGAGCGCGGATGTGGATTTGGAACTGAGAGTTGGCCCTTGGAATTGAAGCGGATTTACAACATAAGCTTGAAATGGCTGCTTCAAAACAAAATGTCTGATTTCCTATGTGTTTTTGGGCATGGATTTTGAGACTTTTTGGGGAGTCTACTCATAGTAGAAATCATCTCGTATATGTGGTTCAGTTTTGTAGCAATCAGACAAAATCTATAAGGCAAGTTGAACAAGAAGCATTAACATATTTTTAAATCAATGTACCATGAGGTCTTCGGAGAACAGAGGCTCCTGACTTCTGGCCAGGCTGAGGGACCGAGAGGTGTGGAGGCCGCCGTCCATATCAGAATATTTGCCTGTTTGAGACGTCTCATAAAGTCTGCGTGGGATCAAGTGACATGTAAACCGGCAACCAAAATGTAATGCAAGTTAGGAAAGGCAAAAAAAATGAAGGCTTGTTCACCGACAGACAGAGAAGATGTCACCAACCTGAGGTAGAAAACAGATTTGGTGGTACGCTCCTGGTAGACAAACATATTCTTCCTGTTGACCACACAGAAGGAGTTGAGCACGGAGCGTAAGGCCTGGATGGCTGAAATTAATAGACATGGAGAAACCAAATCAAGAAACTCCTGCAGAGCAGCATCTCAGTGCATGAATTAATACTTGATTAGGTTGGTCGCTTCAAAGCAAAACAGCAGTCTTCCTGCGACTTTTCAGGCGTGGCTTCTTGAACTTTTTTTTGACAGGGTCAGGGGGGTCTACCCATGCTAGACAAGTCCACAAAAGTTTGGACGAGTGGTGAGTGCGTTGACCTCGCAGTGCAGAATGTGAGTGCGGATGGTTGTTCACCTCTGTGTGCCCTGCGATTGGCTGGCAACCGGTTCAGGGTGCCCCCCGCCTACTGCCCAAAGACAGCTGGGATAGGCTCCAGCTTGCCCCACGAGCCTTGTCGTTGGGCAAGCCGGATTAGAAAATGGATGGATGGATAGCTAGAACAGATTAATTTTTCAAGATCCGTGAAATGGCCAAAAATGATTTAAAAAATGGCCCCTTCGAATCAAAATGTCACATATACCATTTCTATATTTTGGTTCTCCTCACGACAGACGTGCCTACCTCTGGACACACCCATGTTAGGTCCCATCTTGAGTCTTGGGTGTATGTGGATGACGGTACACCACACCACGTCACAGGAAAAGTGTCCAGGGATGAAGTGCATTGTGGCGGCCAGGTAATCTCTGGCCTGGTAGCTCTCCTCAGCGTGGTAATCTGCAATGCATGAACACAAAACGCCGCTTACTACACAACTATGCGACGTCAAAGCACAGACCAACTGACCGTCCGAGGTGTTGCGCCTCTGCCGGTATGCGGACTCGCTCTTCCAAATGTCCTCCTCGCTCTCTGCCACCAGCAGGGAATTGCACACGTGGCTGTCGTGAAGGTCCTGCAGCAGCATATGCTAATATGGACAAAAAAAAAAAAAAAACAAGATGTATGGCAATGAGCATCACCACAGCGGTTGTAGAAAAGATATCAATTGTAGTGTTGGTGCTGTTACCTGGTTAACTCTGCGACACAGCTCTCCAATTTTCTTTACCACCATCTGATGCAGTTGTAAATATTCCGGCAGCTCTTGCTTGTCCTCCCGGCTTTCCTGCTCTTTGCCATTCATCTCCCGTTCCTCACTCACACTCCTGCACATATTAAATAAATCTACGACTTTCTGGCTCAGACATGAATCATGAGTTGATGTTTGGAAGGTTCTTGAGGACCGGTCTTACCTGGAATGGGAGTAGACCTTGACTCTGTCCTGGTGAATCTTCGCTATGAGCCAGAAGTCGGGCATCCGAGGTGTCTGACTTTCTTGCTCATCCAGGGTGGGACTTTCACACTCAGAGTCGCTGCTGCCGCCATCATATCCTTTGAAGAAAAAAAAAAAAAAGCAGTTCCACAAGGTTCAATGCAAGGCCCCCATGCATTTCTGATGGATAATGTTACAACACACGATTCAAGAAGAGGATTCTGTCCGACGCTTTTTTGTTGTTTTGCTTTAAGAACAGAGGTCTTCAAACTCACCCTGCATGTCGGAATCCAAACTTCCTTGGCTTGAGATGACGCTCTGCACACGACTTGGCCTCAGCTTGCCGCAGCCTGTGAAAGACAATAGTTTGCTGAGCATCCCTAAACAAGATTATTGGGTTGGATAGAGCAGCTAGGCGTTGGGATATCTGTCGTGCTACTTGCCTTTGTTTATGATTTACTGTCTACCCCTGTTCAAATGCCAGGTTTTAACCGGTGTTAAACGGGAGTCAGCATATACCATTTAAAGTGCAGAAAAACAGCAAATATGTTTCAGATGCTTGAGCAAGCCCCAAAAATGGCCAATCCCACCGCAGCATCTTTTGAGGTGGTCCCAAAACAGACGTGGCTGTATTTCAGCGATCTGTTCATTGTACGGTTACTCGAACAGAAATGCACCGTGGGGTCGACTCACCATGAGAAGCGGACTGCACCGACTCGGCGAGGCTGACGCTGGAGGGAGTCTTGGGGGGCGAGGTGGGCTCGTTCAGCAGCAGAAGGCTAACCGAGCTCTGTGTGTTTCCGCCATCGGTTTTCAAGAATCCGACCGGTTCGTCAAATTCTGCTGTGGTGTCAGTTGTGAAGTTGGCGGCCTGCAGGCAAAACAATTACAAGTGACTGGTTGTTTAACGTCCCTGTAAAGTGAAAATAATTGTGTCTTTATTTTACATTTTTTCTCACCCACCTCACACTAGCCACACACAGCCTTTCTCCGCATGACATGCACACACTCACAGCGGATAATGTGGCGCGATAAAGCAGCCACGCCCGTTATAGCTTCACAATTTTATAACAGGGTTGTCAGTCTTACACGTTTTCAGCGATAGTTTTCAAACATGTAAAGAATTTTGAAACCAACCTCTGAATTTATTTTAAAGGATCTTTAAAGACTTAAAGGCTGAGACATTTTAGACTCTCTCACCACATCTTCGGGATCAACCTTGCTCTCCAAGACAGACTCTTCCTGAGGCGGGGTTCTGTTAGCGGCAATGCTCTCTGACAGCTTCTTGACGACGTGGATCCTTTGAGGGTGTAGCCGGCTCAGAGACACATAGTAGAAGCTGTCCTGCTCACTGTTGAGCACGTAGCCAGAGAGTGCCATACGACGGAACTCCTGCAAACAAACAAACACGTAAAGCAGAAAGTCAGGACAACAGACATGACTTCTCCTACCCTGTTGTGTTGAAAGGACCTGTCGCTGTCTGACAACTTTTTCCCACCCGACACTGACGTCAGCGGATTATATGGATTTTAACTCTAGTATCAAAGCAGTCATAGCGAGCGGATCAACTCGCCTCCTTGAACTTGTCCAGCGACTGCTCAGGCCTGAAGACAAACTGCAGCGGGACGTCCTCGCTGCGACAGTGCGGCCGCCCGGCCGAGCGAACCACATGCTGCGCCACCTTAAGCAGCGTGGCCGGGCCGATGGTGCGTGAGCGGCGCAGCGCCGACACGATCTCGTCTTCCAGCAGCCAGCGGACCTGATGGAAAGGAAATGTCAAAGGACATTTGGCGGCCAGTACGGGGCAGGAAGGTGTCACGGCACACTGACCTCGTCCATGGTAGCCAGGATAGCCAGCTTGTGAGGAAGAGGCAGCTTAGACAAAGGTTCGCCACAGACCCTGACAGAAAAATGCTGATAAACAATCAATATGCATTTTTTTTCAAATAAAATGTGGGGAAAATGTAGAAAACTGTATCTTGTATACTGTGTATGTAGAGTTTCATTTGCAACTAATTAAGTCAAGAACGAGAAGAGCGACACTGCCACCTTCAAAGAGGCTAATTTTGACAAGACATCCATTTGGATGGATGGATATCTCCTTGAAGTGCAAATATGTGGTCCCTTGATGAATGCAAACCTGCCTCACGTTAAACAGAATCCAAACCCACAGAGTAACTTGGGACACTCACATGTCCACATCAGCTCCCTTCAGCCCCTCCAGCATGGCCGACAGCTCCTCGTCCGACCGATACGACGACGGCTGTCCCGGTGAACGGTTCAGGGACACGCTGCTCTCAGACGTGTACCTGCGAGTACACAGACGCGACGCGATGATTATTTTAAACGCCGCATTAGACGCCACCGCCTCACCTGTTGTGATGAAAATCGGACATGACTTCGATCTCCAGAGGAAGGGTGAGGACAAAGATGTCCAGGGTGACCGAGAGCTCGTTCAGGTCCACTGACTGTAAAGCCTTGGCGTCCTCCAGGCAGGAAATGATCTCACCTGCAGGCACAACATTCACAAGCAAGTCACAGGTGTTACACTTCACAACTTGGTTCTGGGTTTTCACACAGCTACCCACCAGTCACAGTTGAAGTAGTACCTTGAGATATGAGTTAAAATCTAAAACGGTGCTTCGCTGCCATCTACTGGTGGTTGTGCATCACTAAGGTTTTTTTCCAAGCCTGGCCACTGTACATACTTTGACAAAATGGGCATTTACTCACCTAGGCAGGTGGGCAGGCTGTGTATGGGTGTGGATCCGTGGCAGCTCTTGGCGTTGACAGAGCAGGTAACGTGCAGGAAGAGTGGCGGCATGTCCATCTGCGGCCCCTCTGCCTCCAGCAGTGAGTCTCCTTCTTCCAGGATGCTGAAGGAGTCCTGGTCCTGGTCCTGGTCCTGGTCCTGGTTGACCGTGTTGGAGTCCGAGTGCGAGTGGTCCTCGCCGCCACTGAGGCTTCTGATGCTGCCGCCGCTGGGCTGCTCTTCGTATTCCACCACCAAGTCGTTGTCGCTCTCTGTGGTGATGCAGCCGCCGGACGCCATTTCTACAATCAGAGATGAAAGTGGACTTTTCTGAAAATTCCGGAAAAAATAAATAAATAAATGTGTGTGCGCGCACACACACCCACACACACACAAACACACACACCCACTCACACAC